GCTAGGATCTGGAACCAACTTCCAAGGGAAGTGGTGCTCGCTCCTACCCTGGGGGTCTTCAAAAGGAGGCTAGATAGACACCTAGCCGCGGTCATTTGACCCCAGTACTCTTTCCTGCCCATGGCAGGGGGTCGGACTTGATCTGCTGAGATCCCTTCCGACCCGACCTACTATAGAACTATGTTTCATGTTAGCTCTTACCTGCCCCCAGGAGGGCTAGAAAACCATTTTCTCAGGTAATCTCATGATTCCAGGAGCTGGGGTGCAAATGATAATAACTGGTGTGCGTATGGCACTTCTCATCAGTGCTTTACAAAGAAGGTCGGTATCATTATCCTCAGTTTACAAGCTAGGAAACGGGCACAGAGGAGACGTGTTTGTTCTGTATAGGAAAATAACTTTAAAATATTAAAAGACATAACTCTAAGCACAGTGTGCTCCATTCTAACATCTTCCCTGGTGCCTCCCTCATGGAAGACCATTTCTAACAAAGATCCATGTGTCTTTTTAGGGACGTTTTCCTTCTTTCCCTTCCCTTTCCTTTTGTGCATCCCCTTTTCCCTTAGCAGCTTAGCACGGGAGTTTATTGCTCTCCCACCGACCTGTAGGCAGATCCTGTCTGGTGATCCTGGACAATGTAGGCAGCTTATAAATGGCTTCAGCAGGTAGGTGACTTTTTTTTTTTTTTTTTTTGACACCTTCATCCATCTAACAAGCTGGGATAAAATCCTTTGTTTCTATTCTTGGCGTTTCTGGTAGCACCCCCAGTGTGGGAAGTGCTCCCCAGGCAGAAATAAGACCTGATCCGCCACTTACGGAGTAAGGATGGACAGAGGTTAGAGGACAGAGGCAATATAAGGACAGTATTTTCTAGATGCATCTTTTTTCTTTCTTTTTTTTTTTTTTTTTACCCAAAGTGGGGTCCAGAACATCCCACTGGAGCTACCTAACAAAAAAGAATGAAAATCATTGTAAGAAAATTGGACCCCAATTCAGTCACGCATATGTTGAAATCTTGATTGAATTTTGGCCACTTTAGCCTTTTTGAGGAGGTGAGGGGGAAAGTCTTACACACCAGCGTGTGTTATGCACTGGAAAGCGTAGTAAATCATCCCTTAGCTTGTGCCCCGTTCTTTCCCTCGCACCGTGCTTTACATACAGGCCAGTATCGTCATGCCCGTTTCGCAGATGGGGAAGCTGAGAGGTGGAGTGATTTAAAAGAGGTCTCCTTGCAGGCCGGTGGGAGAATCCAATGGCCAGCCTGCCTGTGGCCACATCTTGGGCTTTGCTGTGTCAGTCAGGTCAGGTTTTTGACTGCAGTATGGCCCATGTGGGTCCTCAAGGTAGGTTTAATTGTAGGGAGAGAACAGCCATGAGGCTGTAGCATCTCTAGGACGGAAAAGAGGGGCTGATGAGTGAGCAGGTGAGGTTGGTGTTGGCAGAGAGATGAGGGCAGGTAGTAGGTGTCTCGGTCGGCCAGGGCCGACTCGAGTTACGGTCGTACGTCAGGGCGGGCTGGTGAATGGAGAGGCAGACACAACTTATTGGTTGTAAAAAACTTTACTTACGCCGCTTGCAGTCACGACGCAGGTGGTCCGGTCGTCGGAACAACCACAGGAGTTGTTCCAGCTGGCGGGGCCCAAGCCAGTTAATCCGTCCGCAATTCGAAGCCGGCGGGGAAAGGGGTACGTCGGGGTTGCGCTCGGCGACGGGAAGAAAGATGGATAGGTGATCAGTCTATCGATCGGCAGCCGCAAGTCAGATCACTTCAGAGGGACTCTGCAGCGTGCTCAAAGCTCTTCGACTTGGGCAGAAGCCGCGCGGAATTTTAAATGGCCAGCGAGCCAATTACTAGCCGCCACGTGGGAATAATTTAGCACTGGCCAATAGCGGGGCACAAATTTGCATCCGAATAGCGGGAACTCTTTGCACCGTGCATTTCTGTGCTGCAAAGAAGAAATGCATCTTGCAAAGGAAACCGTAAATTGGCGGGAACTCTTTTCTGTACGCAGGTGCTTAATTGTAGCAAACACTCTGCCGTGCAAAAGAGCTCTCATGTGACCAGGAAATTCCATAGTGCCGAGGCACCAAAAATCACTGGGTTGTGACAGTAGGAAGGGGCAGAGCTATGGTAGAGCTAGGGCGACTGTGACAAGAGTCTGGAAGAGGATGTGGTTATGGAGAGGCTCAAAGAAGGAGATGCTGTTGGTATGGATGGGCTGAGATATTTGCTAGTGGCACCTATGGCTTGGCCGGGAGTGCATAGGGGTACATTGTTGATTGGAGCACATGAGAACATGGAGGGGCTGGATGTGTTCGAATCATCGAGACCAGATGCGCTCCACCCAAGGGCGCTGAAAGAATTGGCCAGTGTCATAGCAGAGCCACTGGCATGGCTGTTTGAGCACTCGTGGTGCTCCAGGCAGGTCCCAGAGGACTGGAAATGGGCCAATGTGGTCCCTATTTACAAGAAGCAGAGGAAGGAGGACCCGGGTAGCTATAGATTGGTTAGTCTCACTTCTAT